AAAACCACGAATTTATCGCTTCTTCATGATGCTACATGTATACCAATGACAGTTTTTTAAAATATAGATCATGCGCTAACTGCATGTGTATGATTATTGAGCAACTCGTCCTAGAAATGGGTGTAAATTGGGAAAACAAAACATCGTACGAAAATCTATCACCGGAAGTCTGGCCATCTTGATGCAACAACACGGTGTTGTTGCATCACGATACCCCCCAGTGATTGTGTCACCCCCAAAAAGTAAAGCGTAAGTCCCTTACCTGCTTCAAATTTATATTGGACTGTTTCAATTCCTACCATGTTATATGGTGTCGAGGTATTAAATTATAATGTATCAAATGTTAAAACCTTAGAAAAGGCGCATGCCAATTCGGCTAAATCTCTGCCAAAGAACACAACTGATTGTGCCGCGATTGCTCAACTTGGTTGGACAGGTATACGCGAAACTATTGCAATCAGGAAGCTCATGTATTTCTGGCACATCTTTAATACTAGTGTTGGTATTTGTAAGAGGTTGAGTATCTTTAGATGTATGCTATACTATGTAGCTTCTTCGTAGATAAATGTTCTGTAACAGTTTCATCACCAATTAGAGAAATTATACAACTTAGAATGCAATATGATCTTATAGGAAGAATGGATAGCTATATTTCCAATAACACATTTCCACCCAAGCGGCACTGGAAAAATATAGTGAAAAGTTCAATTCATAAGTCTCTGGAAAGATGGCGTATTCAATGTATGATATACAAGTAGTAACTACTCGTACTCCAATAGTCTGGTACCAGCTATGTAAATACAAACCTGAAATGATATTCAAATGTAAACTTATGGTAAGACTACTGGTTGGTGAAGGTGTTGGTCGTCATACCGAGCCAAATGTGAATAGGGTATGCTCAATGTGTAATTCACATAAATCATTGTTACATTTTATTCAATTTTGTGATGTGCTGGAAACAATTAGAGATCCTATACGACCTTACTTAGGCGGAAGTGACCTAAATGTAATTGAAAACATTTTTGCCCCAAATGAATATGATGATTGTATTATAATAGCCAGGACGGTGTATCATATGTACCAACTGAGAACGGTTATAATGAAAACACGCGCTACGCGCTAACGCGCCAATGCGCTAATAGAAAATGATCCTTCCCCCACGAAGTGTGCACATGTTTTAAGCGCATGTTTATGATTGGTCTATATCATAGGCCCAGGGACATGTATAATTACGGTTAGGATATTGCCTGGGAATTTGTCAAGACATTCACACTTCAAAGGCTGTATAAAATACCGCTAATCTGTCAATCAAACTTCAAAGATGTGAACTTTGCGGCCGTAAGATCTCACAAATTGCACTCTTCTAGTTACGATTTCTCTAGAAATATATGACCAATTGAAATGTTCTAAATACCGTTACAAAACTGAATTCAACTTTAATTCAGGAAATAATTCCAAAACTAAAATGAACATGTACTTGAACGATTATCGGGCAATTATGAAACACGCTGGTTTACAGTTACTTTTCAAATCGTTTCTAATTAAAAAAACTATAATTCCAAAGATAATCCTCCTTTAACAATATTCCTGATAAAATATAATTCCCGGGACAGCCGTAATTCCAAACTAAATCTGATTAAACAAATTGAGAAAATACGAAAGCAAACATGAAAGGGGGGGGGGGTTTATAGGGGGTCTTGGAAATCCATATGCAATATTTTCACCCCTTTTATACCATGTACAGTTTTTTCACCCCTTTTATAACATACAATGACTACAATATTTCTCACATCTCTTATACTACCATATTTTACGAAAAGTCCAGGTGAAATACCATGTAACCAATTACGATGGGGGGGGGGGTCGGGGGGACCCCACACGGCCAAACATTTTTTCGAATTTTGATTTCCTTCATTGTAGGCCTACATACATCACAAACTGTCTCTATAGGGTGGCTTGTACATCTGGAGTTCTCGATTGGTTATAATGAAAACACGCGCTACGCGCTAACGCGCTAGCGCACTAACGCACTGTTCAGAATGATCGTTCCCACAGGCCCGGGAACATGTATAAAAATCGAGTGAGTGAAGAGATTAGGTGGCTCATCAGAAAGCAGAAGTATGAAGAACCCCAATGTTTGATCGTTAACTGTGCAAAGATTATCGATTGTCAGTGTGTTTTATCTGATTTAAAAGGAAGATAGAAAGTAGCACCTTACAAGATGAATGGTCGCAGATATGCGAATATGCTCCCTATTTCATTGCATTCTTTGGGTCCATCCATCGGTGAGAAAAATCCCGTTTCGAAATCTGACCCGGGGGCCCGACTACTTGACTAATGACTTAATATAATGTTTATTTGTCGCATGTTACCTCTTAATATCAAGTCATGGATGTTTTATATATCTTTACTCTTTGTATTTGAAGTTATATCTCACATGACTTACCAAACGGTGGAATAATTCAGGCGTCGCATTTATATTTTTCCATTTTTCTTTTCGTGCCCGGTTACTCTCTTTCGCTTTCATGGGGGGGTGTATAGGGTTATCTTATAAGAGGAGGGTGAAAATCTATTGTGTATGGCCGCATAAGAGGGGGCAACATTTATCGTATATGGCATCGTATAAGTTAAATAAACATATGTTTTAAAAGAATTAAAGAAGCCTATTATGAAATTTAAAGGCAGTTTGAACGAATACTGCAGATCCAGCTTATCCCCATAAATTTGGGATTTCAATACACAAGTAGTTGTGGGGGCTTGCCCGTAGCCAGCTTTTTTCCAGGGGAAGCTTTTTCACAATTTTGGCTAATAATCATGAAAAAAAATCTCAGAATGGTGAAAAACTGCATGATTTTGAAAGAATCTCTGGCTCCGCTCCCCCAGCTCCCCCTCTGGCTACGGGCCTGGTTGTGGGGGTGATTTGAAAAATCAGTCCCACGTTTATGGGGGTAATCCAGATCTCTATATAGTAGCCTCTATATGCCATATGCCAGGACAGTAACCAGGATTTCCCAGGGGGGGGGGTCACTTTTTCAAAAATTCCAAAGTCACCCTCCGAACCCCCCTGGCTTCGGGGCTGTGTACTGCCTATTTGCCGTATGATTACATTTGGTACTACGTGGATTCTTGCAAATGCAAATAATTATGTTAATTCCTTCTGAATATTATCCAAACTTTTCTCAACGGTAATTTCAAAATTATCGTACAGATCTATTATTTACCCGACCTTTTTGTAAAATATAGTACTATAGGGAGTAGGTGCATTCATGCACCCTCTGGGTCTCTGAGGATCGTGTTGGTTCACCGTCTATATAGGGAGATGTGAAAAATATTGCATACACCGTATGTTATACATGTAAAAGGGGTGAAAAATGCTGTAAATGGTATAAGACTGAAGGGCTTGTAAAAAATAGTGTATATGGATTTCCAAGACCCCTATGAACCCCCCTTTCATGTTTGCTTTCGTTTTTCTCAATTTGATTTTAGATTTAAAAAGTTTTGAATTACGTCAGTCCCAGTGAATTGTATTACCTATTTTACCAGGAATATTGTTGAAAACAGGATTGTATTTCATTTGGAATTAAAGTTTTAAATAAGAGACGATTTAAAAAGTAATGTAAACCCGACCAGCGTGTTTTATCATTGTCCGGTAATTGGCCGTAAATATTTATTAATTCTAAGTTACTCATGTTCTTTCAGGTCAAATACAGAGAAAAGTACACGTTCATTTAGTTTTGGAATTATTTCCTAAATTGAAGTTGAATTCTGTTTTTTAACGGTGTGAAGAACATCTTAATTGGTCTTATATTTTTAGAGAAATCGTAACTTGAAAAGTGTAATTTTCGAGAGGCTTTGTTTATTTCCTGCGGCCGCAAAGTTCACATCAAAGTCTGATTGACAGGTTAGCGGTGATTTATACAGCCTTTGAAGTGTCAATGTTTTGACAAGTTCCCAGGGAGTCATAACCCTAATTATACATGTCCCTGGGCCAAGGGTATAGACCAATCATAAACATGTGCTTAAAACATGCGCACACATCGTGGGGGAAGGATCATTTTCTATTAGCGCATTGGCGCGTGGCGCGTTAGCGCGTAGCGCGTGTTTTCATTATAACCTTCTCGATTCCAGGCGCTAGAACTCCGATTGGGACAATCTAATGTTTTAAAACATCCATCAAAAACCTGGATTACCCCCATATATGTTGGGCTGGTTTTAATTCTTTTAAAACATATATCTAACTTATACGATACCATATACGGTCAAAGTTGGCCTCTCTTATGCAATATAAATAAATGTTCACTCATTACGATATAAGATATCCCTATACACCCCCCTCCATGAAAGCGAAAGAGCGCCACAACCGGACACGAAAAGAAAATATAAATGCGACGCCTAATGGGCTAATAACATGTAAGTCATATAACTTCAAAAATATAGAGGATAAAGATATATAAAACATTAGACTTGAAATTAAGTGGAGATATGCGAAAAATATACATTATGAAGTCAATAGTCAAGTTATTTCAGACGGGGGCCCTCAGATTTCGAAACGGGATTTTTCTCACCGACTCTTCAATAACGCCATGAATAGTGAGCATATTCGCATATATGCGACCATTCATCCTATAAGTTGTTACTTTTTATTTCATCTTCCTTTAAAATCAGATAAAACACGACAAGCGATACTCTTTGCAAAGTAAGCGTTACCTAATATATATTCGTCTCGATTTACATACATGTTCCCGGGCCTAGGGGATCGATCATTCTGAACAGTGCGTTAGTGCGCCAGCGCGTAGCGCGTGTTTTCATTATAACCACTGAGAACTAGATTTCTCAATACTCTAAACGTCCTGCACTAATTAACTATATTGTGTTATATTTTTCATTATATTTTTTCTTCGTAACCTTTTATGTTAAACTATATGTATATGATCAGAATTGGTCGCAATAAAGAACTATACATCTGATATATCATGACTGAATTCTGCTTGTTTTTTTAGTTTTTCTCGATTTTCTGTCTGTTTTAAATAATAGTCATTCATTGTCTTTAGTCCTCCATCTCGGGAGCAGCTTAGGTCTCCTTTAGAGGCCTGCATCACAACGAGACTTGAGATTTGAGGTGGAATTACTGCTGGTTATCGTCACTTTCATCATCCCGCACTTCACCTTCCTCATTCCGTTCACACTCATCTGGAGTACAATTCAATTCAAATATCTTTATTGTTACCTTGCGCACAGAGTCTACTTAAACTACAGTCGAGTGAAGACGAAGCTCTCTTTTAAGAAGTGAAGTCAAACGAATAGTACAATAACGTCATTTCTAAGGGCGATATAGTGAAATATTGGACCGAGGGCCGAAGGCCCAAGGTCCAATATTTCACTATATTGCTCGCAGAAATGACGTTATTAGTATTATTACCACCGTTAACGACCAGGACTGAAACAGCAAGAAAATCTTACGCATTGAACGATATCAAATTTCCCGGGGAAAATTGCCGGTCCAGAATATATTCTAGACCGGTCCATATGGACCACCACTATGACGTCACACATTTCTCAGTCGATATAGTAAAATAAACGCCTTCTAAACTAGCACTAAAACCCCTAGAACTGGCCCGGCAAGGTGGTAATAATGCAAAGTGTACTTTATTGTTCAAAAATGATGCACTGTAAACGTGCATAGATACAGAAAAGGGCATACCTAAAATTGGGGTCAACCCAGTTGTCCGAAACCCGAAACACCATAAGTATCTTTAGAATCACAATATAACCGTATGAAGCAAATGGCTTAGTAATACACTTACCATCTCCCTGCATGTCTGATGTCCATAGTGTTAAATTGTCTCGTAATAACTGCATTATTAAGGTGGAGTCTTTATAACTTTCTTCACTCTTGGTAACATCTGAGATTGCGTCATCAAATGCGGCCTTTGCCAGTCGACACGCCCGGTCGGGTGAGTTTAAAATTTCATAATAAAATACGGAGAAGTTAAGCGCTAAACCAAGACGTATGGGGTGTGTGGGAGCCAATTTAGCCATGGCGATGTCGTTGGCAGCTTTGTATGCAACTAAACTGTTTTCTGCAGCTTCTTTACGGTCATTGGCTGTGGCGAATTCTGCTATGTATCTATGGTAGTCCCCTTTCCTGTAATTACACAACATTTGATTATGTTTTGTTTTTAATTAAACATCGGATTATTAATACGAGTGCTAATTAAAGTAGCTGTTCACTATCTCTCTGTGCAGGCTTGGCGTTTTATTAGGAGTAAGTTATGGGGTCGAATCGTTTATCAGCACTTCAACTGGTGACATATGTTATACTCTCCAACTTCTTTTGGACGGCGGTTGGTGTTCTGCAACACCCCAGTCACATTTGTCGCACGGCGGCCGCAGGTCGACCGCAGAACAATTAAATCGGTGAATTTCTGCGGCGAGCGTAGAAAAACTACGCTCGCCTTGCGGCCTCCGTGCGGCGAATGCAGATTTTTACAGGCCGCAGGGAAGGCGTAGAAATTATAACTCGGAGTTATAATATTCGTTCATTTCTGATGTCCCCGTAGAAATCAACAGGCTAAACAAGATTGAATCATTATTTGTCAATGTTTCACGATCACTTTTCATTTGATATTACATCCTAGCACTATGAATAACATTTATAAATTGTCCTGATGTAAATAAAAAAAATGAAAAAAAGTATTATTTATCAACAGAAATTTAAAATTCACCGTGCGGCTGCCGTGGGAAATGTGACTGCAAAAGTATGAGAGCGCAGAAATTCTGCGGCGAGCGTAGAAAAGCAACTGGCCGCAGAAATGATAGACCGCACGGCGGCCGCAGGAAATGTGACTGGGGTGTTACATGGCGTCTGTAACAAATCGAGTCCGTAAAAATGTTAGGTGGTCACACTTTGCATGTTTATGTCTTGTTATTAATAATAACTTATTCTATTGGTGTAGTGTGGGCATTTCGGATATATCTTAATCCTGAATTTTGAAAATTCCCTTATGCCGCACAAAAGGCGGTACACGCATGTTGCATGTCCATGTCCTGGACATCGTTCAATGGAAAACAGTACATAGATCATTATCCCACTGAATGTAGTTCGAGGGGAATATAGAGAAGCCGTCTTCGTCCGTCCTTCCGTTCGTTCCTTCATCTGTCCGTGCAATAACTCAAATACCAGTAAACAAATTGGGCTCAAATTGCATAGGCTGATGCCTTTTGGGGACAAGACCTCTGTTGAAAAGTTTCAGTATGGCTGCTCAATTCAAAATGGCCGCCATTCTTCGTAAAAATGTAAACTTTGATAACTCAAATACCAGTGGACGGATTTGGTTCTTATTTTATAATGTCGTTTGGTCAAGAAAAAATTTCCAAGACGCTTAATTTAAAAATGGACGCCATTTATCTTAAAAACCGAAACCTTTGATTACTTAAATACAACAGAGACATATAAAACGAATACAAGTAGACGAATTTGGTTCAAATTCTACATATTCATGATAGAGACACAACTGAGAGCCCTGTTCTAGAGCTGATGTCTATTGGCAAAGGAGCTCTGCTCAAGAAGAAATTTTCAAGGTGGCATCTGAATTTCAGAATGGCAGTCATTTTTCGTAAAAAAACATAATTTTTGATAACTCACATACCAGTATACGGATTTGGTTCAAAATGTTGATACCAAAAAGGACCTCTGTTCAAGAAGAAATTTGGCCGCTATTTGTCAAAACATGTAAGGTTTTGTTCGGTGGGATTTGCTTCTCGGTGGAGTTGCTGTTTTCCAGTTATTAAAGATTTCATTTGAAAACATATCACATTGTGTACCAAATCATTATACCTTGAAACAACGATAATGAAATACTTACATTTTATTATAGAAGACTTCTGATTCGGGTTTAGTAGCACTGGGTATCAGATGCTCATCCATGATATTTATTATATCGTTGCAGATGTCTTTTAGTTCTTTTTCAATCTGAAAATGCATACATACAAGTTTGATTTTTGCTCTTTACTAACTGTATCTAGTATATTTGCATGACGTCACCCGCAATGTAATCCAATAGGACGAAAAGAATGGCCGGCGGATCAATTTTAACGTTATCCGATTTTGTTCTATTTTTTTAATGAAACCCTAGAGATCATTGATAAAAAGAGAATATGATGATAACCATGCAGTAGGGAGGTCATAATAGAAAAATGTGGTGATACCCAGTAGGGAGATCATAGATGAAAGAAAATAAAAATGTGATGATAACCAGTAGATCATTGATAGAAAATGTGGTCATGCCCAGTAGGGGAAAAAAGAAAAAAGTGATATTATCTGATGATTACACCTTTTTGCAACCTTTATTTCTTTGACACAGTAAGTTTTTGATATACTGGTAAATACAAGTGAAATCCACTTACTAAAATATTAAAATCATTATTTCAAACAATTTTGCTTGTTTTCAGAAAGTCTAATGGCATCTCCCTGTTTCTATCTCTGTGTTTTTGGATATGAGGCATAATTATTATGACCCTGATGGCCCGATACAAGACTAGTTACTTGTTTTATGAATTATCAAATATAATACCTTTTCCCTGTATTCTTTAATGATTTTATCTTCATCTCCCACTGTGTATTCTTTCTTCTTTTTTAGTTCTATGCTGGTAATAACCTTCCAAGATGCTCTGCGAGCTCCAATCACATTTTTGTAAGCCACTGAGAGCAGATTCCTTTCCTCATCTGATAGTTCTACACCCATGCTTACCACTTCTTTCATGGAGTCGGCCATTTCTGCGATGTATAAATACCATGGTGTTAACTATATGAAAACAGACCATTGGCAAATGAAAAATGCCATCAATAACGCAGATGCGAGTAGATAGTTACTTTAACCGTCAAATCTTCAGTTAATTGACCAAAGATTTATGCTGTAAATTGACACCACTATAGTTACCAGTTTCACCACCAGATGGCTCGCTCGGGTCAGGTAGCATGGCGGGCAGATTAGAAAGTTCTCTTTAATTTAAATTCCATCTGTTTAAGTAGGTCAATGTCCAGCAAAAGAAAATGTTATCTGTTCAATACTATCAGTTATCACACGTTTCAGCATGTGATACAGGAAATATTCCACGAAAGGCAATACTGTATCATCTACGAAAGCGAAGCTTGAGTGGTGATACATTGTTACCCGAGTGGAATATTTCCTGTATCACATAAGCTGAAACGTGTGATGACGATTTTATCACATGTCTAGGAATTTTGAAGCATTTTGATTTGGTCAGTTATGATTGTGTTCAGTACCCCAAGGAGGATTGGCTCCCAGAATCGAAGTCGATATTTTCCAACAATGAAAACGCCGAGATGTCGTTATTTTCTGAAATCATAACCGATTATAAATTCAAAATAAACAGTTCAAAAGATTCGAACCAATATCTCGATCATTTCCTGTGAGTTTTGGAATTTTTCGTTAGGAAATAAGACCAAAATTCCCGATTCAAATGTTGAAGTGAACAAAATGGCGGCTGTTGGAATTCAAATTTTGTAGCACGACATGCCTATATATGGGACAGAATATCGGTGGTGCATTCTGGGAGCCAATCCTCCTTGTCAGTACTCTGTACTCCTGGTAACTATTATAATTTTTGATTTCACTTTGAAACAATATGACGTCATACCGTTGTATTTGTACTTGTTTGTGAAATAGTATGACGTCATATTGATTTCCTTAGCTAGGAAGGGATATAACCAGTGACGTCACATCGTTGCTATTGACTCCGTAGTGACACGCCTAACCATCGTCTCAATACAGCGTCAAAAAATAGCGGAGTACAGTTTTCTGTACGGTGACGCAAATTGACTGCTTTGAAGCAAAAACTATGGCAAAGGTTTTAAAAGAATTAATTTGATGAAAACAAATACGATTTCATGTGAAATAAAAACAGCATTCTCTTAGAAATTTTTTTAACTTTCTAAACATAATAAAAGTTTTACGAGCACTGTCCGGATTTTTTCTGAGTGAATCGGCCCATATAATCGACCAAAGTGAAAAAAGTTGATTTTCCAACATTTCGTTTGGTTATTATTTTTCCTACCGTCTGAGAGTATGGATTATTTTTATGAGAATATGTATTTGTTACTTACACATTTTAGAACGGGTGGAGATTCAGCAAATAACCATTCATTGTGTGTATTTAAAAAAGATCAGATTTGTGCGACGACGCATCAGCTGTACGGTGACGCTTAATGGAAGGTTAATGGAAATGTATAATATGGTAAGGATCATGAAACCAAAAACTCAGTATATTTGTTGCTATGTTATTGATGTTTTTAAACAAGTGGTGTCACAACTAAATCTCATCTTGCACGTGTGATTTATCTTGCATGGGGTGAAGATGGCTCTAGGCTATCTTTGTTAGTCATATGAGAAAAGCTTGGTTTAGTTCAAATGATATCAAAGCATTACGTCAACTTTCAAATAGTTAATTCCATGAAAACTGAAAATATCGAAATAAATACTTCCTGTCCGCCATCTTAAATGCGAAGGTGACGGCCGTCACCTTCGCTTGATACTTACCAGTGATAATGTACATGTAGATCTGACACTTCTTTACCTCTTGTTCGAACAGTAAGCTTCGAGTTGAATGTGTTTCAGTATTTAATCCTTGTTATCCGGAATGAATGGAAACATAAGAATTGATATTTTTCAATGTTGAATGGGATACAACATTTGAATTTCCACACAAAGACTTATGGAATCTTACGTTAATTAGCTCATATATTACACTTCATAAATTCTAAGGAAGCGTCACCGTACAGCAGATGCGTCACCGTACAGATCTGATCTTTTTTAAATATATATAGTGAATGAATATTTGCCGAATCTTCATCTGTTTTAAAATGTGTAGATAACAAATACATATTCTCATAAAAAGTATCCATACTCTCAGACGACAGGGAAAATAATAACCAAACAAAAAGTGAGAAAACAACATTTTTCTTTCGAGTCGACTATGTGGGCCGATCCAGTCAGAAAAAATCCGAGCAGTGCTCGAAAAACTTTTATCATAATTAGAAAGTTGAAACCATTTCTAAGAGAATGCTGTTTTTATTACACCGGAAATCGTATTTATTTTCATCTAATTAATTTTTTTAAACCCTCATTACAGTTTTTACTTCAACTCTGTTAATTTTCGTCAACGTACAAAAATTTGTACTACTGTATTTTTTGACGCTGTACGGTGACGCCTGCTTACGCGATGGTTAGGCGTGAGTGATACAGCCCACCGTATCACATGAAAATTAGTCACGTGCCATGTGATACGGAATATACATCATCACAATTGACCAATCAAAATGCTTAGACACTCCTATTCATGTGATAATAAAAGTTATTGAATGATTTGAAGTGCAATACAGGATATATTCTCTTCGAGAAATGTTAACGAGACGAAATCGAGTGCCAATACAGAATATCGAGACAGAATATATCCTGTATTTCACTTCAAATCATTCAATAACATTTTTATCGTGTGATCCTCTGTATTGCTACTGAGATTTTCCCCTCCGTACCAATATTTTCTGTATTGCGACGGAGATGATCAACGGGGACAACCTCAGTAGCAAAACAGATTGGTACAGCACAAGAACTGACCAATCAGAGGGCTTCATTTTACAGATCATGCTATAAAAGAAAATATATTTCACCTTTTGTGATTTTGTAACATGGGGTCTATGGGGAATCAATCCGAACTTGAAATCACATTTTCAAAAAAAGTTAAATTTTCAAATTTGATAAACAATTTTGGAAACCATATTCCGAGAAGAACTTTTACATGTAGATTTCAAATATAACATCACTTTGAATTTTGAATATTTAATGACGTAAATCGAGATTTCGCATCTAGTCTATTCTCACAGGTTGTCGAGAGATTTGTCCGGCTTGGGAGCATGCTAATTTTTCAAAAACACTATGACGACTCCACACGTTATTTCTAAACTCATATGTTCCTTTATTGGTAGTGCTTACTAGGGTCAAAGAAATGGCCACACCTGCAGTAAGGTTCTAATACACCGTTGGAAAGCTGAAGTTAACTTTAAGGATCAGACCTCTTTTTGAATTTTTGGCGATTGCAAAAATAGATATTAACCCTTTCATCCCCAAAGGATCATTTAATTTATGATAATCAATAAATATTTTTAGGTTGACGATAACTAGTTCAATGTCAAATATAATACTTAGGAGAATGTTTAAGAGTTTGGTCCCCGATAAGCTAGGATAGGGGCCATTAAGTGCAGTGACCCTATTATGTTAAAAATGCGTCAGAATTTTTGTTTTTTTTGAAAATAGAAAGCAAATTGATGGAATACTAATAAGTGGAGTTATGACCAAAAAGAGCTGACACCAGAGGGGGAGAAACACCAGGGTTCAAAGATGACATACGCTTATAATGTAAATCTGTATTGAGATGACATCGTCGCTGATTGGTCAAAAGTCGACAAACAAATGACGTCATCAATGGCGGTTTTAAAATTTTCGAAATACGCTCTGTCGAATGATATTATGTTCATTTCTGGCGTGTTAACCAATACCATAGCTTCTCATTTCACATCAAGATAAAGAAAGGTGTACGGATAATGCCTATATCAATTAAAACATCCCATCGAAGTGTAGTATTTGATAACTAGCCGATGAAAATTCGAACGAACGAAGGTGGTAAGCAAGAGAGGTAACTATGTCTGTCATCTTTAAACTATGGGGCTTTCCCTCCTCTTAGCTGACACTTAATTTTTTCAGCAATAAAAATGGCCGCCATTTTGAAGCAAGGCGAGCTTTTGAGATGCCGCCTATGGAACAATTGACGACCTTATATAGGCAATAGACATATCTAAAAGTGAAATGTGTTGACAGACAGACGGACAGACGGACAAATGGCAAGACAAGTGGGCGATAACAATAGCTCACTAAATACCTTGGTCACATTTGCTCCGATTTTCACTACGGCGCCCGGCCGATTGAATATTTTGTTCAATGTATTCAATTTGAACAAAAATACTCAATCGGCCGGGCGACGGCCGATGAGTTAATCGCAGCAAATGTAACCCCGGCATAAGTGAGCTAAAAACTAGGACACATCAGTATACACAGTGCACACCAGGTATATATTGTAATATATTTTACTTCGTTGTATGTGCCAAGTATTTCATATCACTTGCTGTTTAGCATTCACTAGAATTACTGTAATTATCGTGACATTATCTTATATAAATGTTAAAACCAGTCAAGCCCCATCGCTTTATTGAAATCGAGCGTGACATCCTTCAGATTATGACTCATTCCTCAGGGGCGTAGCCAGCTTTCAGTCGACCCCCCCCCCCCCCCCCAAGAAATTCGGTTTTCAATCGGGGGGTGCGATTGTGGCATAAACAAGCTCAAAACGGTTTTATTTTAATATGGTAAGGGGGTTATTGGTTGTGCGATCGCACCCTTCGCACCCCCCCCCCCCCCCCCTGGCTACGCCTATATACCTTTATAAATGCCTAAATAATATTATTACGAACGGCACTGACAACGTTTCTATTTTTACGTTTTGGTGAATGTAAAACAAAGGAGGTTACTTCGCGAAGGCTTTTCAACAACTCTTCTATCCACAATCACAATGAACAGGTTACAATTAATTTCTATACAAATAAAATCAATTTCCTAGAGACTGGCCGCTGTAGTATCGCGCGCCGAACTAACTTTGAAACCGATCCCCGATCCAAAATTGAGATGATATCAAGTTTATTCCAGATTTCTTAATTACTATGCATGTCCGGTTACTATGGTCTTAACAATCACAGAGCATCCTCTTAGATAGTATAAATGTAATGCAAATAATAAAACTAATTCCAAATGATTCGAAAATATGATATAGTTTGCAGGAATGAATTTAGTGACGATGAAGTCTCTCAAATTTTGCTCGAACTTTCAGTTTTGTGGAACCCCTTCTTGGTTTAGGAGTATGTAAAATTAAAATAACCTTACCTTCATACCTCTCAGTATGCTCAGCCAATTTAGCTCTGCATACTTTAGCATTTCTTTCTTCCATTTTAGCTGGATTTAGATAAGATTTTAACAGATAGGCCTGTTTTGTTGAGTTATTTTGCAAATGAAGATAAAGATGACTGCGCAGCCAACAACCAAAAGTAGAGCTTGGCCTAATTTCAAAAATTCATCCGCTTAAGAATGAAATAAACCTTTGATGACGAAAAAATTGGAAATGGTACAAATATCGATTGAAAAGCGTTCACTTTACTCTAAATTGTGGTAAATTAGATGAATGTGAAGCCAAATATGCTACGTAGGCCAAACAAACTACATTAAATTAACTTTTAAATGCTATGGGTATTTTATATCAAGTTGTTTTCTGAACCAGGTATCACATGAAATATATGTTTTTTAGTGTTTTCGACCAATAATATCGTGTCATAATTTTGCAAAATGCAGTTACATGCAATAAAAATGAAACAGAATTTGATCATCTGCGGATGATTATCACCTGTCAAGTGATATAATTTCAGATCCAGGGAGTAATCTTTTAAAGTTGGACACCTATTTAACTGGAAAATTCTTCTGAAACGGGTGTTATTTTATTGAAAAAATCACCAGTTTGTTTTGTAAATTAAAATTAGCGGTGGGTGCCGCTATTTCGATGCACTCAGCATAATTCGTACGTTATATTTCAAAATCGATTATATTGTCGCTCGATTTGCTACGAAAATACCTGTCGATTTCACTTTTTAAATGCCAGTAGTTTAAAACGATTGCTTTGATTGGTAGAGCAATATCATTTTTGACGCAGATTTAACGTCTAACAAAATTATTTTAACGACGTATAGAATTATCTTTGTACCCGTAGATTATTTTAACGGGGTACAGAATTGCTAATTCTAAACTGGGTATGAAATCGGTTTTGATGGCGTTAAAAGTAGATTTTACTCAAATTTCAAGTCAGATTTGAACTTCTGAGAACTTTTTTGGAGCAAGTTGCAAAAATACCTTTTTGACCTTGAAAAGGTCATTGAAGGTCAACCTTGAGAATGCCATTGAATGTCAAATCTATAGTCAGATTTGAACTTTTGAGAACTACTAGGCCTAGATGATTTTGAAAAAATGGTCAATTTGAAGCAACTTGAAAAAATACCTTTTTGACCTTGAGAAGGTCAATGAAGGTCAAATCTCAAATCTTCAGATTTGAACTTCTGATAACTTGCAACTGATTTTGAAAAGAAAAATTGGTCAATTTGAAGCAAGTTGAAAAAATACCTTTTTGATCTTTTTTACCTTTTCGACCGCCAGTCACCAACCGCTGTCACAAAAAACGGAGACCACCACAATAAGTCACCACTTTTTGGTGGTGACAAAATAACAACAAGATTCCGTATACTGTATATTATAGAACATATTATCCAATACACATTTAGAAATACACAACAAGGGGCTGATTTACTGTTGAAGTGAAGGTCTCGAGCATCGTCCTTTGGAAGTCTTATCTCTTGCCATTCATATACATGTATGGCATGCAGGTCTATCAACATTTTGACCTCTTCTACTTTCTCCTCATCTTCAACATCATTGAATGGAACTATACGACTGCTTCGTCTCCATAGCTGTCTTGTTTCTTTGGATTTCCTAACAGCAATCTTGCTCATGGCACTTCTAACCCTAGGACTTATAGTTGGTTGATTTTCCATCTTCAAATATTTGCGTGAATTGTGTCTTTGGCAGATCAACTCAGAATTACAGTATTGCTTTTGTTTGTATTTACCATAGAAACAATATTTCTATCACCTGGTAAATCTTATTGAATTGTATGACATCACATGTCCTGTTGCTATATAATATAAAGTCTTACAACCATTTGTATCATTCGCTGTGTGACATCACAATTGAGGTTTTAAGAATCCTTATTTAATACATTTATGACATCACAGTAGAATCAAAGTTATTTAGTTGTGACGTCATATTTGAGAAAATAAAATTCATTCTGGGAAGTCGTTTATGTATCATGGTTACCAGGTTACCCCCATAGTTTTAGATTTGTTTTATTTTATGTGTATCCCTTCATACATGAATCTATCTGTATATATTTCTGTGTGAATTCATCTTCCTGGTAAATCGGTAACATTTATTACAAGTTCATTTACTTCAGACTAATATAATTTATTTCGACGTTTAATGTGTTTAATCACAGACGGTGTCAGATGTTCCCTCTTAGTCTAGCTACGAGCCCTTATGACCCCCCCCCCCCACACACACACAGAATTAGATACGGACTCTATTTTGAATCACAAAATTTTGCTCATAATTTCCCTAACACTAATCTATGTGTCTGTGGTAAGAGTGCAGCCCCTAAACACTTGATTCTGCAATGTAAGCGCCATTCAACCCATTTAAGAAAAACCTTGAAGAAACCATTGAGCAGAAAAACCTTGAGACCCATCTCAGTGGACAAGAAAAAATTGAATTTGATTAATTTTCAAAAATTCATTCTCAATTGAACAGGATTCTCAATTAGAAAAACAGCAACTCCACGGAGTAGCAAATCCCACCGAACAAAACATGTTTTGGTAAATAGCGGCCATATTAAATTTGAGCCAAATCCATCCACTGGTATTGAATATTATCAAAGATTGTGTTTTTATGAAACATGGTTTTCATTTTGAAATTCAGCTGTCATCTTTAGATTTCTCCTTTAGCAGAACTCCTATGTCCAAAGGCATCAGCATATACATTTAATCCAAATCCGTGAACTGGTACTTTAGTTATCAAAGGTTACATTCTTTTATGAAAAATGGTGGCCATTTTGAAATTTAGCTGCCATCTTGAAAATCCCTTCTCAAACAGAGCTCCAATGTCCCTAGGCATTAGCATGTAAAATTTGAACCAAATCCATTCAATGGTATTTGAGCTATCAAAGATAACTTTTTTTACGAAAAATGGCCACCATTTTAAAAAATATGGTGGCCATCTTGAAAATGTCTTCTTGAGCAAGGCTCCTTTGTACCCAGACAACAGCATATAAAATTTGATCCAAATCCATTCTATGGTACTTGAGTTATCAAAGATAACCTTTTTTACAAAAAATGGCCGCCATTTTGAAATATGGTGGCCATCTTGATAATGTCTTCTTCAGCAAGGCTCCTTTGTACCTGGGCAACAGCATATAAAATTTGAACCAAATCCATCCACTAGCATTTGAGTAATCAAAGATTATATTTTTGAGTTTTTGCCCGGACACACGAACGGACGGACTGACAAACGGACGGACGGCTTTTCTATATCCCCCTCGAACTTCGTTCGGTGGGATAATTAAAAGGAAGGTTCGTTGATTTTATTCTTAGCTTAACCCAACTCATTTTATTCTAATTTACTTGTCACCATTAAGTGTAGGCAACTAGTTAGCGCATTTGTATGTATAACTCAATTAATTTGATTTATGTTCATTCCAAAATGCTAGCCTGTAATGCACATTGCGCTAGGCAGCGACCTGTGTAACTTTTTTTACTGCAATATAATTGAAATAAATGTATAACGAACTAACCACAACAAGTGTGAGGTGTTTAGTCAAGTAAGCGGGGGGCACAGAAGTTTGTAGCTAGACTAGTTCCTTATATAACCGGGGCACTTGTATCCGTTGATTGAGGAAGAATATGTGTGACCCAGGGATTTAACTCAAAACTGACGCGATGTGAGGTTTTATTTGAAACGCAATTTTTTCCTGTAGTAAAATTTGTCTTATCCAAACGCCAGTGAGACCGGCTAAAAGTAATGCTTGGGAAGGCCCATTATGATTGAAACACTTTGATGTTTTTTTAGTGTTAAATTGAAAATATTTTTTTGCAATTTTAAAAGAAATATGTTCATTGATCGAATTAGGTGTTCAGATTTCAAGTTTTTTTAATATGAGTCAATGGGAGGAAAAATGGGAACAGTGTTCGGATTGGAAGGTGTTCGGATTAGCCAGGTGTTTCACTGTAGTTCATGTAGTTGCATATGAATAAATTCTTATTTGTTGCTATTTTGAACATTTCTACAAGGCCTATTAGATTTCTTTTACCCGAGTCTCTGAACACTTCTGTAATCCAAACACTAATCAAAATCAACACTTTCAGTCCAAATCAATGTTAAAGGGTGACGCATATCGTTTAGCAAATCGAACGCTCGTTTCTGGTGTTGCTCACCGTTTAGTATAAAAGGCCCGATCCCGGAATAATACTCAAGGGTTCACAGGTTCGAGGTCGTTGTGTCAACACCTCTAACTGTTATATAGCATAAGTCTATTATAGATCGTCACACATTTATAAAAGGGTGATTTTTATTTTGACAAATCAATTCCACATTTATGGGTGAAGTTTCAGGATCTTCTATTTGTGTATAATAAGGAAAAATTGGCATCTAAATTTCCCCATAACGTAATAGCACACAGCTTGGCATATGAAATATCCTACAAATGAAACAAAGCAAGACAAACCGGTTTCTAATAAAAGGATTTATATTGGCTGTTGTACATGTATTCTTTGAACGCAATCACTCTTTGGATAACGTTTTCAAAATCATTATAAACGGATTACTTTATCTCAAAGACAATTTCAATAAACTGGATTTTACAGAACTCCCCTTATTTCTTATAAATGGACTGATCCAGTTGATTCGCCTGGAGCCGCCATATTGTTTTTATACGGGATGCTAATCGGAACCCTTTAAAAAGGCATAAACATGACAAAATGTCACCACCTTGTTGCTCACAATATTATGAGTTCAATCTTATTTCTGAGAACTTGTACATGATAAATTGGTCAATTTGAAAAAAATACCTTTTTTGAATATAAGAAGGTGATCGAAGGTGAAATCTCAAATCTATAGTCAGATTTGAGCTTCAGAGAACTTGTAGATGATTTTGAAAAATAGGTCAATTTGAAGCAAGTTGAAAAAAGACCTTTTTGTGACCTTGAAAAGGTCATTGAAGGTCAAATCTCAAATCTGAAGTCAAATTTGAACTTCCGATAATTTTGAAAAGATTGGTCAATATGATGCAAGTTGAAAAGACCTTTTTTGACCTTGAAAAGGTCAAATCTTAAATATAAAGTCAGGTTTGAACTTCTGAAAACTTGTAGATTTTGAAATAAATTGAAGTCAGTCTTAAACAGTATTTGTTAAGTTCTTGTAAGTTGTAAGAATTTGTTACAGATGCCACCCGCCAACCATCAACCACTGTCAAAAAAAAACTGGAGACCATAACAATATGTCACCACTTTTTGGTGGTGACATAAAAACCGTGAAATCTGAATACAAGGAATTTCAACACTTTTGGCTGGGCATAGTGGCGTTAGGATTAGCCACGTCTTATACGGTTCATAAAACAATGAACAAAACAGCAATATCCTATAATATGGAATCTTTAATGTTAAAAGCATGACATCAGATACAGACTATAGACATTACAGATCACTCAAAGCAAATCATAGAAGCACAAACACCAAATAATGTGTTTGTGTTACCATGGCAACACAAACACGTTAAGTATTTGTCGATTGGAAAGTCAATTTACATTTTATAATATTATACAAATCTGTTTGGATTTTTTTTAACAATTTAGAAAATGTGGTCATTTTTTAAAATGCAATAATAAATACCGTATGTTTATGAACACAAATGAATACCTTGTAGTTAGTAGTTAACAGATGGTCCAGTTATACAACCCCCCCCCCGTCACACTTTTGTTTATAAAGATGTAGTGATTTCCCAGGAAGATTTACTCATTTTAGACTTTTATCTCAAGTTAAAATTCATAATTTAGAATTTTACGCAACTTGGATAAAGTTAGCAGGGACCTCCCAGAGATTTCACAATGAATGTGACTTACGGTAAGTAAAAATCATGATTTTTAAGTAAGGCCAGTACCACTACCAGGGGAAAGATCTTCTTCACAACACGTGAAACACCAGCCTTTAATAAACTTGAGTTCTGCATTTTTCCAACTGAATGGCCTTTAAAAATCCACAAACTTTATTTAGCTACAGTTTTACAGATTAACAGTGTTTGTTTAGTTATCTTATTCCCCCGTATAATGTGTTTTTGAACTGAAATTACAATGCTGGAATTTTGGACTGAAAAATACAATTTTATATAGCTCTACTAACTAACTAGCTATATGTGAGACTATCTGTTTACAAGTTACTATAGCAACAAAGTTGAAATGTTCAGATTGTTACCCTCATTGTGACAATTATAATTATAAACAAACTTTAAACAATGATAATATTACATACATACATTACATACATACATACAAATAATCTATTAGTTGACATATTATTATAAAGTATTCCTCTATATATATAATATTACGTGTACACATTTTTCCTAGTTTTTAAGTGTTTTGTCGCATAGATCATTGGTCTAGTTAAAGTCACCAAGCAAAGATGGTCGTTTTGAGAATCGCCAAGGTAAAGTCAGCTGATACAATCGGGACAATGGATCCATAAAACTGCTCTCAAAAATGAATAAGTAAAGTGCACGACAAATTGTTATCAATCGAAACGGAACTGCTCTTCAAAATGAATAAGTGCACAATAAATTGTTTCAATCCCGACAGAACACTGTCAAAGTCCAAATGATTTAATCCTAAAATCAGTTCCAAAATGCACTGTCTGCGGTACATTTAGGGTAATGGTTAAATTCCAAAATGTTC